AGTTTACATATTTCTTCTAAATCTTGTTTTCAAAATTGTATTGTGGAGGTTTTATGACGTTCTCATAAGTCGTTTATGCAAGATATCCCGGAACAGTCATATTTTTCTGTGAAATAAAAGATCGTTTGTAAATATTATGAAAGCAACCGTCTACAAAGGACTCATGAGGAACAGTCTACAAAGCACTCATGAGGACATAGAACAGGTTGAGGTGAACATAAAAGTTCCATGCTGCTTTGCGATATTCGCAATCAATCTTGAGGTATTAATTAAAGAAGATTAGTGAGTGATCATGCGCTATGTGGTAGATGAGTGCTATAGTGGCGCCGTCTGCTGGTGTATACTTAAGGTCAAAACGAACAAAAAAGTCCTCTACCATTTTATAAATGCACGAGAAGTATTGTAAAATAAATACCGTAATAAATAAAAAAAGAAAGAAGGTCGAACAGATCTCTTTCGATTCCGACGTTTACTCTTTGATCGCGCGCGCGTTTTCGCAATCGTTGCCATTCCCACTTGATAATAAAAGAACGCCGATATCTTTTTTTTTTTCATAACTTTTCGCCGGCGTTACAGAGTCGGTCAGAGGCGCCCGTAGAAGAGACTCAAAACGAGCCGGTACGGACGCATACGTGGCAAACGAGGTGGACCGGAAGGGTCCGCTCCGGACGGCAGGAGGAGATAGAGGAAATATTCACGGTTAACGCGTGCATCGAAAGCAGGGCTCCACTCATTCAGTTTATCCAAATTAATTGGTCGTAAATTAAGCGGCTGGTCTGACGAGCGGACGAGCGGCGAACGATGAAGAAAGCGGGATGGTGCCGGCTGAGGACCCGAGAGGGACGGCTAAATACGCACCTAGAGGAAGAAAGATGAATGAGGAGGAGAAAAAAGATCGAACCGACGCGAGTAGAGAGGCTAGGATAGAAGGAGAGAGAAGGGAAGAAGAGAGAAACAAGGAGGCATTAGCGGACGAGAGAAAGGGCAAATTAAGAAAAAAGCGAGAGGGCAAAACTGGGGGGAGGAAGGACTAACTGTCCGAGGGACAGTAGCGCATCGACACGCCATTATGTGGCGGCTGGGACTAATTTATACAAGAGAAAGACGAGAACGCCACGGAAAGTCAATCCGCGCGCGGCTCGTAGAAAGAGAGAAAAGAAGGTCTTGGTGGGAATATTTAAGGATAGAGGCCTCATCCTAATTGGAAGCCTGCCACTGTTTCGACGGGTGTAGATACCGGGTGCTCGTATTCGTGTCCGCGGTTAGGGATTATGGAGAATTAGAAGTAGGAGAACAATCCTGCGGGATAAAGCAAATTACTCTCGTCATCACTATAGAGTCGATTCAGGTGAACATGAAAGTCCTATACTTAGGTGAGACTTATCATTTTCAAAATATTTGCCAATATTTGTCCTTCCTAGGTATTTGACAAGAAATAAAATGAGGCTTGACGAAGCCTCGACGTTACGAGCGAAAGTGCGAGCAATATACTTCGCGAGGGATTAAAAACTAAATATTGCGAGATTCGAAAAATTGGACGATTCAAGTCAGAAAATTATCCACAGTTCGAATAGCATAATTCGGGCCAGTTAACTCGGAGCCAGCGAGCTGTTTGGACGCGCGTCGCTCGAAAATCCCATTGTCCTCCGTAATTAAGACGCAGGGCGTTGTTCCCGCCGTGTGCGACTTGCGCTTTATGGATCGCGCTGTTAACGGCATTACTACTCGCGACGAGGTGGCTTTACAACAGAACAGTCCGGCGAGCCGCGCGCGCGCGCGCGCGTCGTCCGGTGTCGTGGACGGGGCCTGTTTGGTATTCCGCTCCGGTCCCGAGGCATAATTGGACGCCAACTGGCGACGCTCCTCCGGGTATCGCGAAGACAAGAAATTATTCTTTAATTAATTGTCAGCGCTCAATGTGGCCGTATGCGTAGGATCGGCCCGGTACATAAATTTCATCTATATGGGAGCGCCGACTGAGATCGTGCCGAAGCGGAGGCGGCCGGGAGAGGCTCTGGAGAACACGAGAGAAACGAGGGAACCGAGGGATCTCTCTCCGAACGGCTTCCGATATACACGGCTAGCGAATATCTGGCGCCTGTTTGCGAAGCCTTTAACGGCGTTGAAATCGTCGCTCTTAAAGGATCTTTTTGCGCTTTGCTATTAGCCTCGTGACGGTTGCCTGGCGAGACACGTGCTCGTCGCGCATGTCAGGTCCCCTACGATGTTCGGAGAGCTAAAGGATTTCTTGTTCTTGTTCCATTCGAAAATTTCAGTCTTGATAGATCCGCGTATTCGCGCGAATCCAAATATTCATGGTCCTTCTCAAGTTGGTATAAGTTAGTCCAAATTAGGAAGATGTTGGTAAGAGAACTATTACGGATGTGCGAACTGTTCGAATCGTATCAGATCAGATTCGACTTGATTCGAATTTAAATTATTCGAACATTTCGAATTTTCGAAATTTAAATAAAAATTTCGCTTATTGACACAATCTTGAAAATTTATATTCTTACACTAATGAGCAATAATAGATATGTAATGAACCGGAGTGAGAAGTCATTTAGACCTCCTTACCTGTCGACTTTTAAAAGAAATCAATTAACGCAGAATTAAATAATTAGGACAAAGTTAGTGAGGTCCTAATATTGATAATTGGGATTCGGCACAGTTTGAAGTTCAATTCACCGCGTACGTCGCAAGTCCGGAAAAGTATTCCATGCGTGTGTTATCACACGTTCAAACATTATTATCCTCTCGTAATTTAAAATTATTTGCACGACTGGCTTGTTAATTAAATTGATGTAATATTCTAACTTTTTAATTTAATTTAATTTTCCTCTAATTTTTTAATGTTTTAATTTACTTAATTGCCACGTCGTGAAATTATTGTCGCGACCTAACAGCCGCTGTAGCAACTGTGAGAATCTCAAGCAGTCGGGTTCATTTGTATCCTGCTAATTTCTGTTGTTTCCGATCGAAAAATGTTGCGAGATAGCTCCGGGCTGAACTTTCGTACAGAGAAATCGAATGCAAATCACTAACCGCGCGAAATACTCGGTCCGTCTCGTGTCATCGGTGTTCTCACGAATGTTACGCGTTCACGTGAAATGCGAGGATGACACGGCGATTATCACAAAAGTTGCAGCGTCTTTTTCTCCTTTTTCTCTCTCCTTGGCGAAAAGTTACGGCGTCGTCGAAAAAACGAGTTGCAGGCGCCTATGGCCACACACCGTAAAGCGGGACAGGTGCATACATATGTGCACCGAAGACACGCACAAATATGATAACGACAAACGAGCGACCGCTATGTAGATACGTGTTGGTTCGCTCTGTATATATATATTTTATAATTAGCCACGGGCTTCTCCTCTTTCTCTCTCTCTCTCTCTCTCTCTCTCTCTCTCTCTCTCTCTCTCTCTGTCTCTCTGTCTCTCTCTTTCTCTCTCAGTCTCTCTGTCTGTCTCTGTCTCTCTCTTCTCGATAAATCAGCGCGCCGCCCAGGCTTAAGACTTAATTAAAAATTTAGTCAAAAACCAATTAGCAGCCACGGCGGATTAACATATTTCTAATTATCTGGCGGACACTTTCGGCCGCCTTATACCACCGGATCGACTACTTGCCATATATGAAGCCGACTCGTCGATGACTGTGCGATACATTCGATCGCGTCGGGCAAACCCCTAGTGGGTTCCCCTGATTTTTTCTTTCTCTTTGTCCTGATTCAATATGATGCCTTATTTGGGGAGAGGGTTACGCCCGATCAATTAGGTCACGGTATTATTTGCAAATTTACGAAGAACGGCTTCGAGTACATATAGCCGCTCTGTTATTTCGCTTATTACGTTAACTTCAATCCTTTTAAAGAGGTTCTAGCGCTAGATTATCAGTACTTTATTGATAAAATCATTTAAGATGATTAAAAAGATAATTCTGTAACAATATTAGCGAGATAAAATTTGTAAATGTGACAATGTACATTTGTTTTTTATATTAAATGTATTGTCATATATTTTAAAAGTGACAAAGTAAAAGTCATTTGATGTCAACATTGATTATGAGAACAAAATATGAATAGAAAATTTAGGGAAGATCGGATAGTTGGCTCAAAGGGGTATGTTGGCCGTATGCTTTGTTTATGTATTTATTATGAGAACAAGGATAGAAACAAACTCACAAAATGTTCTTTCTAGAACATAAGTACTTTTTACTGAGTTTTGTTAAAATTAGAATATTAATATTACAGTTAAAAAATAAAAAGAAAACTAATTTAGGAGCAGCAAAGCACATTTTTCAGCATCTTGAAATTTAGTATTAATACTTTCCGTCATAAATAAATAAACTTTTAAGTGGCGTGTTATTACTTAGCATGAAGTTCCTTGTAAATGTATCATACACTGTTTTCGGCGATAAAAGCAATTTTCATTCATAAAATAACTGAAATCTAGCACTAGCGGACTAGTGCTTAAAGTTGGCCCATAATTAAAGCTCGTAAGAGAGACCGTAGAGATTTCTTGCGAAGACTCTGGAATTACTAACTGGGATACATATTTTATATGTGGCCTTCTTATCATGAGTTGTTAACCAACCCTGTACAAAAGCGAGATAGCCACGTGCAATATATTCCGTTTTACACACAAATATGTCAAATTAGAAGAAATTTGTTGTATTATAAAGGTTCTACATATGCTTGTACAATACAACTTTGCAATTAAGTATCTCGGAAATAATACGTTATATAATAACAAAAATTATAGAAATTTTTGTTATGCACTTTGTTGTATCAATTTTTTTATCATGCATATATTATAGATATATCGTATATTTGATTAAATGATAGAATCTCCTTAAAGAGAGTTCTGAGGAAAATTATTTCTCTCGTTCTGTTTTTATTATTTTTTAATAATCACATCCGCACGACCTGGGAGGGAGGGGGTCGTGTCGTGCGCCTCGTATCGAGGGTTGAGAAGATCGACGGGACAGGTAAATACTGAAATCACTTTTATTTCGCTATAATATATATACTTCCATGGATAAATTATCATCTTACATTTATACAGAGCGCATAGGTACGTCTAGAACCTCGCCGTATTCGTAACATTAGCTTTGACTGCCTATGAACGATTCCGTCTCTCTCGATACAAGCTGATACGTAATTTACACTCACTCGCCTCGTTTGCTTTGCACGCGGGAAATTTAACAAGTCTGAAGGGTTCCTGGGTTAAATGAGTAATTACGGAATATACTTGGGGAGAAAGATTAGTAGCTTGTCCTCTTTGCGCGGGATGACTACTAGAAACGTCCACTGATATCCCTAATATTATTTTTTCGAAATTTTACTCCGCGATTTTCCATCCTTCTTTTGAAAGTTTGCTTTGGAAGAATTGAAATAATATTTCTTAATAACACAAGTGGATTTCGCTTGACATGGAAAATGATTTTCAAAGAAATATAAAGAAACTATTTATACATTGCTCCAGTGTTGACTTTTCTTCGAATATTCTCAGACCCGGAATTGTTTGAACGTACCTCGCATGCTCGCGTAGTCCGCGCTTTCAACCGGTCCATATTTAAAATAAATCCGGCAACGGAGATTCTCTTGCTAGGTCCAACGCGGTCTCTCCGACTCGTTAAAATTAACACCCTCGAACACTCCCGCCGCCCTTCGCGATTCCTCCTCTTGACGGCCGAATCGCAGCGTCCTGTACACGTGTGTATATACATACGTACACTCATAATTACCGTACGAACGCGTACCTATTTACACTATGTACATTGATGCGTTCTCTTGAGATCAAAGCGCTGAAGGTGCCCACCGTGGGCGCCGACACGTATCTGCCATATCGTTCTGGAAAAAGTGATGACGATGCTCCTTGAGTTACAGATCTTCGATAGCTTCAGGCTCCTTCTCCTCCCTTTCCACCCCGTGTTGAAATTTAGATTATCCGTACATCGCAGGCGATAAGGCGTTTGGGTTAACGCGCGAGCACGACCGTTCCACGGCCGTTCCCAGCCAATTTCGACTTCCAACGCTAAACGGTGGATTCCGATATCCTTGGCGATTCCGCGGAAGATCGGCTGATCGAACAACCGGTCAGAGATTGAACTAACAAACAAGAGCAACTGAGAACTCTTGGATGATCCTCTCTTCGAAAAAGAAAGCTCATTCGCAGGGCTAGTAATAGCGTGATGTTACCTAAGTGTCGTTTTAACACGCAGTCTGGCTTATAGATTGTTCATCGGCTTTCGAGTCCTTCGATCCTACTCCGACTAGAAATTTATTCTATAGTCTTGATCAAGTTGACTTCAATCAGTTATTTGGTTTATATTAGATGATGTTATCGGATCCTAATTATTAATAATCCTTATTATTATTAAAGTCCTGATTGCCACGCTGCATTATATGATTTATAAGGACCTAATAATATCACAATGTATATTGTATAAACCAGATAATTGATTGGAACCAACCTGATTAAGACCATGGGGTAAATTTCTAATCAAAGTTCTCCAGGATCTTAGACCTTGAAACTCCCGAATTCTTCTTTCCAGATCCTTTCTCGAATCCTTGAGTCTTCGATCTCTGACTTCAGATTTTTCAAGTCCCCCAGCTCTCACTTCCTAGCCCTCATACTTTTGATTGTTTGAGTTCTTCGATCACATTGTCGCGTCTGTCCTGCTTCTCTCTCTCTCTCGTCTCTTCTCGCTTTGACTTCTTAATTATCTCGGAATTTTTAGTTCTCGGATCTTCAAGTTCCTCGAACTTATAGTCCTCGCATTTTCTACTCCCTGGATTCTTGAGTCACCGTATTCCTCAGTCTCTGGATTCTCTTGACTTCCTCGGGCTCACCAACCTCGCATCATCGGATCCTCGGTCTGTGAACGGGTTGTTGGATCGTTAGACGATGACATCGAGAATAACTTGTGTCGTTATTAAGGTCGGTGGCCAGGCGGCCCCATGAACATAGCGGCCGCCGCCGCGGCGTGAGTGTGCCTGGCCATGGCAGCCGCGATGAAGGGTGGCACTCCGGGAGTGCCAGGCGGACCCACCCCGGAGAACATGAGTCCCGAGCCAAAACTGGGGTGCAACAAGGGTCTCGCGGATAGTCTTAGCTTCTCTATTTCCGCCTCCTGCAGCCGCTTCGCCTTGGCCCGTCGGTTTTGAAACCAGATCTTCACCTGGAACACAACGGGCAATGGCGGATCAACGCGTCTGACTATCAAAATCAAATTCTCCGTCGATTCCTCTACCCTTTTCTCCCTCTATCTATTTATCCCTTGTGATAACGTGATCCAACAAGAAATAAACTCGAAGAATCGCTCTAAAATTTTTGACATCCATACGCGGAGTATTTTTCTTCAATAATAATAAATTTTTCAAACTTGTTTTACATTATAAATATATCCTAGGCGGACAAAACTACAGAGGAAAAGTTATAGTAAAAATTACTGTCGAATATTGTAATCTAGCAACAGATCGACATTCGGCAGAAATTTACTATCTTAACTATTTACTATCTTTTATTTCATATGTACTATTTATATCTTAGTAACTGAAATGTGCTACTAAAAAATTTGCTATATTCCAATCGAAATTTACTATGTTTCTTAGCAAGATAGATCTTACTGACAATTTCTCCTTTTCTATTCCTACACTATTAGAAACATAATAAAACGAAAAGAATTTGCATACATAGAAAGAACTATGATATAGATATTCTCTCCGTATATTATGATATTTCTCTGGTTAATGTATGTTTATATCTTCGGGAGAGAGAAATTCTCTGCGTGCGCTAACACGCCATTTGTATCGTGACGTCAGCCGTTTAGCGAACATTGCGCAAGCGTTACGTTGTTGTTGGGCGACGTCGCGTTAAACACCGGATGCAGATTTACTGTCGGTAAACAGCACGCAGCGAGACTCACTGCGTATGCGCTTGTGAATGCGATTAATAAAATTACACGGTAATCCGACAATTAACGCATCACCGAGCGGCCGAGAAGGCGCGACGCGCCTGACAAATAAAAACAACCGCGTGAAACGCACATACGTATGAATTTAGCGCGTCATTAGGCTGGCAAAACGGCTAGCACGAGAAGCATCGGCTCGGTAGTGAGGAATTATCGATGTATCGAGAAATCCGCTACGCTACGACGAGATAACGGGTCGGGTTTGCGCGCGGACGAGCCCGGACTAAACGCTAAATCGCGTTTAATTGTTATTTGCACAGTCGTTCGCGAATTCCTCCGTTTGCGCAGCTGTCACTCTGAATCGCTGGCTAATTTGCGACGGCACTTTGGCCACGCGGAGGAGATGTGGGTATAGGCGAGCTGATGCTCGGCTTACGAAATCGTTCCGCGCCGACGGCGCTTTTAACGAGCGACCGTTTTCGATAATGCGCGCGGGTAACCCTCGCGATACGCGATAATTGTCACGATGTTCTCCGGCACTTTCCGACGCATATCGCCGCAATCCTCTAGGAGATGTCTCAACTCGTGCGGTCGCCTCCAAGTCACTCGCGACAGCGATCTGTCTGAAGTGAGAGACCTTTTACGATCGTGCTTGTCTAACTGCGAGACGTTCGAAGCGAAAGAGCTCTAGCAATTTAATCTTAAGGAAGTGGAGCCTATTTTCTTAGTAGTATTTTCAAATTTTAACAGTATATTAATGGAAACACAGTTTACGCACATATTCAAATAGAAAAATATTGACCATATTCTCTCTGAAGCTGAAATAACCGAAATTAACACTATATTTAAATCAAACACTATATTTAATATAAACGGTTTTAATTAGAGCTATTATAATCAAATGACAAGATCATTGACATTCTAGTTCTCAAGTAATTAATATGTAAAGTACACAATTACTGATAGCAGCTGAAATATGGCAGCTAATTTGTGGAGATCTGGCAATATTCTATATGTTCTTTTCACTTTGTTTCTTAATTAGGTTTCATAGTTTCTTTTTAACCTTGTTGCGATAACAAGCAGTTCTCGGACGTATTGGTTTGATTAGAAATTTTGTTTCAAGAACTTACAAAGTTTTATACATGTTAGATATAAAAGTAGTTGTTGATAAACTCTTAAACTTCACGAATGATATCAATATGTTCCTTGACATATATTATATATTATTAAAAATATCACTACGAATAAGATTCAAATTTTACTCTGCACTCATTGTTTATTAGAAAGTTTATATTAATAAAAGATGTTTTATAAATAGAATGTAATCCGATGCTGCGCGTTAAGAAGTATATGTGCAGACAAGGTGAAGAACTTTGTCTTTACCTTGCAAAGAACCTAATCTGATCTAATCCAACCTAACTTATATCGCTTTAATGTTAACATACTTTGTCAAAAGATGTATATGCACCTTATACATTAAATATATCCTGGGCAATTAGTATTCTTTAATAAATAATTCAAAATTGGTTATTTGCACAATAATAGAGGAATTTCTTGTTTAGTTTGATCTAAGTACACGAGAGTTTTTCTCGTCAGACATTCTGTATACATTTTTTTCAATTCCGCGCAGATTTGTGTATGTTTTGATAACATATGCCAGTATGAACAGTAAGCCAGTAGATACAGAATACGTTAGATTAAGTTAGGATTTTAACGGGGTGGAGGTCTGCTTTATTGTATACATATTTTATGTTAAAAGTTTAAATATTTGTGTTTAAAAAGCAAAACAATAAGAATACTTAGGTACGTGTTCAGACAATGGTACTTTTACCTTACACGAAAAGTGAAAGTAAATTCAAGCGACACGTCTATATTTTCTTGTACTATTCATGAAAAAAGAAATCCCTGACGAAATGATAAGTTAAAACCCATAGAACCAAAGAGGGATGAATGTCGCCGCGGCTCACGAGTATCGTGAGTTGAATTGTGGACATACCTCTTTGTTCGTGGTGAATAATGAGAGGAGGAGTCGTGCGGGCGAAGGAACGGTTCGGCGAGTTAAACGACACGTAGGAGAGATCGGTCGGGGTAATCGTAGCTTATCTAAGCAAATGAATGCGACGTAGCTTCATTTCGGCTGATGCATTGTAACGAATGCGCAAAGTGTATCTTGGCACGCTAACTGGCGCGATAACGACCCGGCTGTTACATATGTCGCGCGAAGAGTGACGATAGTTCAAGCGGAAAGAATCACAGATAAGAATAATAATGTTTATAAAGAGGGAGTAGTCCGCAATTAAAATTCCCTTTTTTCCCGCGCATTGTGACGCGCAAAGAGCGTCTTTAATTGCCGGCGCGCAAGTGACGCCTTCAAGGCAACTGTCATTAACATGTTTGCCGTCGTCTAATAAAATTAATTTAGCAAACGAACCGTGGCGATCTTCATTGATTAAGCGCTCGCTGATCCAAGAATGCTCCCTCGATTTAACGTCAATTTCCGAGAGCTAATGTCTTTTTTCTCAGTCGGCTCACCTCGCGTTTATCAGATAATGAGTAAATACTTCTCTCCTCGTCTTTTCGTTTACGCGTTTCAAGCAAGCTAGATATAATGAATCGATCGTAAACTCGTTTACTATGCGCCTTTACTGCTGAATGTTCGCGTAGAAGTGTTTGCGTAAAATTTGTGCGTATTAATCTGTCACTGTTACGTCATTGAGACTCCTCGAGTCTTGCCTAGAGGGTTAATTGCTCGTGTATCGCGACCCGGGCGACTCACCTGCGTCTCCGTGAGCTGAAGAGAATTCGAGAACTCCGCTCTTTCGGCTATCGTCAGGTACTGCTTCTCGCGAAACTTTTTCTCCAACGACAACAGCTGCGAGGTCGTGAATGGCGTTCGTGGCTTTCGATTTGGCTTATGCTTCCGGAGGGTACATCTCACCGGGCCTGGTCCGGGTCCCGGCAACCTTAGCTCTCCTGAAACCCAATAGAGGATACATGTTCAGATGAGTCCAATTCCCATCCTGGACTTCAAGCAGAGCCGCTTTCACAAGAGAGAGCTTTTGTATATACCCCTTGTCCACAACCTTGCTTTAATCTTTAAGCCATAATAAATTGACCAACCATAGTTGATTATCTTAAAAATAATAAACTGTGGTTGGTCAATTTCTTACGGTTAAAGCAAGGTTGTGGACAAAGGGTTAAAGATAAATCGTTAACAAAATCCTATCCCTAAAGGGAGGCTTTTAGCGCAGAGAAGATGCAGTATATGTGACTTATGTATAATATAATAAAGATAAAGAAACCTGCTTATGGAATAGGCATATGTAGTACGGAATAGGAGCATATTTTTTCTATAAAACACTGCAGCAACCGCTGCAAGTTGCATTTGTTATAAAACTCATCATATATAACGCTGAACTCCGGACGAGAAGTGTATATGAAGATATAAACGATCTTCTATTTTCATCTCGAATGAAAGTTAGATATTGTGGCAATCAAGTTGCATGTTTGTTTAAGGCAAGTTCATTAATATTTATATTCAACGTACGCTCTTAATACAATTATCTTAATTATTATCCTAAACTGACATCTGGAGTCATTTCAACCCTACCTGATTTTGAATTTTGAATTACCCGCGAACTAGTAGAATGAAGACTTGATTCACGCGCAAAAATTATAGTTGGCGGGAATATAAAGATTAAACACTCTATTGAGTCAGTTCAATTGCCTGTCATATAACAAAAAAATTGCTATGAAGTTGTTTTTGATTCTAATCAAATTGACAGATCAAGAAAGGTGTAATCTAAAGATGTCATCTCCTATCGGTATTTTACTATTTCTCAGATATTTTTTCCCTTAAAGAAGACTTTAAGTGGTGCATTATGAATCACCAATCTTGTTTAATTAATAACTAAAAATCTACATGGTAATTTGTTAAATAATAAAAGACTTTTTCATTCACTTTGACCTAATATACAAGTATACTGTGATAGACGTCGCTGCGATAGACGTCCCAGCTTATCTACCATATTACGTTGTAATCATTCACTATTTTTCTTTAATTAATAACTCGAAAATTGATGTGGTCGTTTAAAAATGTTAGAGGAATTTTATATTCAGTTTGATGAGTTCTGTTTGTATGCAATAATTATGTATTAGAAAGTTAAAATGTACATTTGCATTGTATCAATGTTAATTTGCAAAAAGGTATTTCACAACTGGTTCCGTGCGTGTTATCCTAATATAAAGGTTCTCACAGAGAGAAACGGAAGATAACGTTAAAGCGAGATTGAAGAGTAGGCGTCGGGCGCGAAAAGTTTATTTAGTTGAGACGCACGACCGGCCATTCTGTAGCGCGAGATGCGGAGGTTTCATTGGGAAATCACTTAATATCAACTTCGCCTACTCTCGTCGGTCAAATTAATCTGACGCCTCTTTTCTGCGCGAGTGCGCGCGAAAATGAGAAGTGACGGATTAAAGTTACATCACTCCGCGACGTTCGCCTTGCTATCTAACGTGGTTGGAAAAACAGAGTATAATAATGACATCCGCGGACATTCGTATTCGTACCATTAAAACGGCAGTTCGTCCACCGTCTGGGGGCGCGCGAGCTTCGACCGATAATTAACGTCGAATGTGCGACGTTAGCCGTTAATTTACGAGCGCGCGTTCTGCCCCGGCGAAACGCGTCCTGCTCATAGGTTTCGCATGATGAAGCGATTACGGTCCCACAACGGCGCGGCGACGACGACGACGACGACGACGACGAGGGCGCAAATTAAATCATAAAAAATAAATCGCACTCGAGTGGCCGGCGAACGGCGCCTAATTATCGAGCCATCATCCCGGTCTCCGGTGCATCCGGCGCGCATGATTATCATCGGCCGTCAGTTGTTTACGATCAGTTCATGTGCGCGCAATTAGTTGATACCGCATAAAGTCTCACCACCTCTTCTCGATATCTTATCGACATTCACGTCGATAGCGGTCGCATTCCTTGTGTCGATCGTTTGTAAATTTTTCACACGGCACGACTCGAGGAAGGTAAAGGGAACGCGATTACTTTGCCGGACATTTTTACATTATAAAGGAAACTGTCGATATCCACGTGTTGTTTCTTTTCCTTCTTTCCCGATGGAAGATAACAGACTGATGATAGCCAGTCTAGCGATATCGACGTGTTATTTTAATTAGTCGGGATTTAATTTTCTATTCAAAAATGATATCAAACCTTCTTTTTCACTTTGAAAGTACCAGGATAGAAATGTAATTAGCCGACCTGAGTCTAAAATTAGTAACTAGCTAGTACAGGTTAGAATAAACTTTTAGTTCGTTGCTACTTCGTTACGGACTGATTATTCATAGAAACGTGTAATCGATTCTGTGGTCTATATAGTCATTGTGTCCAGCCATTGCGTATCAAGTACAATAGAGTATCTGAGTCGAAATTTTAATCCTACTTTCAATCTGAATTCTATAACATCTGTAGATTCTGAAGGATCAATGTATGTTTAATATTCATGGAAACTAAAACCCTACTAAGCACCTTAAAAGCAATGAAATGTCACCTATAGATGTTCTAAGAAGAATCTCTTTATAAGTGTTTGAAATTCTACATAACCATAATAAAATAATGCGATATAAAAACTGCATTATGTTAGTATCCAGTGTTCCCTTAAACTACTTCCAAAGGATACCTCTAAGTTAAATAATCTTCCTCCTCTGATGTTAGTCAGATGCTCTCACCTCTGATATAATGAAAAAAGTTAGACCATGAGTACAGCGGGCGCTGCAAGTGCTTTGTAGCGTTTTTACTTCTCTCTCTTTCTTCATTCGAATCCGAGGAATAGAACAAGAAGGAGAAACGCTGCGCAGCATTTGTAGCGGTTGTTGGACCGCACCCAATATAACATAATTGTAATCTCTTAGTTATCAAAGAACAACTATCAGCTTTCAGTGACAATTTTAATACACTGAGATTTTAATATATAAAGCCCTACTATAGAAGTAAATGTGCCATAAATTAATACCAGCATTTTAGGGTTAAGAACCAAATTTGATGTATAAGAACGAAAAATCTTGTTTGTTTCAACCAAAGTTTACGTTTGGTTGTGTCATCATTGCGTTACAATCGTTTCTTCTCCGTGTATAATTGGACATATCATTTTCCCGCGATTGTCCCACCGTTTCCGCTCTAAATGAGCAACTCGACGGACAGAGAAGCGAGAGTAATTGACATCTTGTAGCAGCGCTGTTGGCGTCGCTCAGACGTGAGGTTACATCTTTCGATTTTGCCCGGCCGCGCGTTGCCATCGTGAAAAAGCGTTTTCGATATCCAGCTCGGGAGGAGAACGGAGAACGAACGATGACGATTTCGCGACGGCGAGGGGCAGCGGAAGAGACAGGAGGAGAGGAGGGGGGGCACGCGCAGATTCCGTGCGCTAATTAACGATCGGTCGGCTTACAAAAAAGGCGCGGACCGCCGGCATTGTCGGTCGGATCGGTCGCGACACCGGTATTACGTCTTCCATTCTCGTTGCGCTTCGCATTACTCGTTTCGTGTGTCGCCCGTGGAAGTCGTGGATGAGAGGGTGAGGAGGGAGGCGCGGGTTTCACGCACATCTAACCGATCAATACGTTCTCCTCCCGGGAGGCTAATTAATTTCCGCCAATTAAATACTTATGCAGCCTTCAAAAGCGGCGGATCCGCTCGCAGTCAACTCGCGTCGCTTTCTTTCGCGCTTAAGGACATCGTATGTGGGTCGTGACAACGCGACGCAATATTTTACTAACGTGTGTTCCGCTAATTACACTTGATTGCCCGCCGTTGACATTTCATTATTTCGTTGAAGTAATTACACTGGGAGTCGTCGATTTCCGACTGAATGAATTATTAATGAGGCTAACACTCGCGTTATGAAGCTATTAATTTCTCCACAACAGAGAAGGAGAGAGACGATGCTTTCGTAACGACGTTAACGTTGAATGTCTGCAACGATGATTTACACACGGAGGAAACATTGTATTAAAAATTATACAACAAAATTTTTGTAACGCTGAACCATGTAGAAATTATGACCGGAATTATTACGCGTAAAAGAGAAAAGATATGATGCACATAACATAATCACGAATATTTAATTGTGAGCAACATAGTTGCATCACCATAGTTATCCTTTTGTGATGATAATGTGTATAGTTTATACGACTCAATTGCTGTGATACATCAACTACATCAATATTGCGTGTGATCTGTTTGTGGAAACCAGAAATCAGTTAGAATGATATTTACTATGGATACATTCTGGTTGGAGCAACCAAATATCATTGCTAACGTCAGTAACATCAGTAACTCAGCAATTGAGTTTGCAGCAACTATATAATCAATTGATCTATATTTTATAATTGAATCTGGTTGACACTACCATTTATGTATGGATGGTAAAATTTATTATTTCTATAGTAATTTATACAAAAAGAAAGTATTGTAGAAAAAATTACAACATAATTTTTGTAATCTCGGAGAATGAGTATTGGATAAAAATTTATAAGAAAAATCATAATTAACAAATAGCATAATTTTCATATCAAATAGTCCAATAAGAGCCATCATTGATCTTAGTGCTGGAAGAAGATTTTACTGGAAAAGATAATAGTCTATAAATATTATAAAAATTATAAAATCAAAATATTGTGTACGTTTCAATCTCACTTTGGACCATATTAATTTTTGTTATTTATTTTATTATTTCATATAGCATAATTTTCAGCAAATCGACTGAAACGAAAAAAAAAAGAAATATATCCTGTCTCCATCTGCACTAACATTCGCGGAGAATTCGGAAACGTGATGACTTGTCCGGCTCGACACGCATCCGTATCCTCAATAGGCCTTGAAGATTTTGCGAAAAAAAGCGAGTAACACATCGCGAATCTGCACGCGGAGCCGGACAATCTGTCGTTACGTCGACCGA